CACCAGCGCCGCCGCCGCTACCGCCGCCGATGTCCTCGCCGTCGTCCGCCGCCATCCGCTTCTCCACACCATCCGCATTTTCCTCCATGCCTCCTTCGACAGAGGTGGGTGCCCCCTACCCATCTAAGGGTAGGTACCCATTCGTCTACTCACATTTTTTTTTTTGATGTTAATTAGCTTTCGACCCGCTGGGTTGGCGGGAGCTGGGATAAAGGCCGGGAGCTCACTCCGGCCACGGTGGTATTCGAACAGCCGCAATGGCTGCTCGTAGTTGTTAAGCAGGCGTTCTACTGCCTGCGCCACCGCTCCCTGTCCTAGTGACCTGTTGTGGGCTGGTTCCCTGGGCATACCGCCCAAGAAGTGCTTGGGGTGGCACAAAGGGTGCCAGTGTTCTGCAGGGACTCAGTTCCCAGGCACAGGGAGCATGATAGGCGACCAGCATTGCCTCCTGGGCTGGCACTACCCGCTCAGATGTTGCTAGTAGCAATGCAGGAAAAGTTCACGAGGGTAATGCCTTGAATTAGCCTTGTTTTAATGCAAATTCATTTGTTTCCCCTGAACACTGTTGCATCGTTTTGCTGCTTTCGCACACATTGGATAGTGCACTTTCAGTGCACTTTAGCAAACACTTGCAACTGGATTTTCCTGTTTGACAGAGGAAAACCCAGTTGCAAATGATTGCTGAAGTGTGCTGAAAGTGCATTATCCAATTTGTGTGGAAGCAATTCACTTTGAGATTTCCTTTCATAGGAAAAACTGTAGCAAACCTAGTCCATCTGCGCTCAGGCAAACACTGGAATGAATTTTCATCACTTCTTTAAACTCTGGTGTGGGGGTTCTACATCCAGAAAAAGGCTTTTTTTGTAATCAAAATCTAGTGACCTTCTTAACAGGTAGTTTCAGAGGATGGCTGTGTTGGTCTGTAGTGGAACAGCTATATTTGAGACTCACCAGATGTTCGGGATATGAGCTTTTGAGAATCAACACTCCTTTCTCCAGACCAAAGGAGCAGTGACTCTCGAAATATGATACCCTGGAAATATTGTCGGTCTCTAAGGTGCTACGGGACTCGAATCTAGCTATTCTCGACAGGGGAATTCACAAGTGGAGGAAAGGGGAAAGAGAAGGAATGAAGCGTGTACTTATGTTCATTGAGATCGATGATGGTGTGGTACGGGCGCATCTGCGGAGGACCATCGCCCTGGTTCAGCATAGTTGGAACGTTGCAGGGAAAGCAGTATTTGTCATCGAAGAGGACCGTCGGCGACCCCATGAGAAGGAGGGATTTCCTGAGGGATTCACGGCTGCCTGCTGCAGGGGGGGTGAAAGAGAACCAGGGTTTGAATTGAGCATGCAACCTCTTTATCAAAGTCAAGTAGGGCAATCTGATGACTCTAAGATCGTTTCATTATTATCTTCCCATAATCCTGAGATCATAGAATCTGTAGCTAAATTTCTCTGTTGTGCTATTAAGAGAAGATGGTTTCAGTTGCAAGGGTAAAGGATGTATCCTTGTCTCCCTGCTGTATGTTCTGTTGATATGCCAATAAAGGTTCTGATTGATCGATTGAATTGAGCATGAGAACACAGGCAGAGCACCCGCCGTATCCAGTCTAGGCCCCCACCAAGGAATGCTCTACCAGCAAGTTATGGCTCTCCTATGACCTGGTTGTCTGTACTTTGTGCAGATGATGGGCATGCCATCCAGTGCCATTTTGGACTGTAAGCAGCGGCGCAAAGTGGATTATAAATCTAACGCATCAGCCCTGTCCTTGGTCAGCTTTGTTCAAGAAGGACACGTGAGCAAATCGTGGCAAGGAAACTGATCCTGGTCAGTTTAAGAACATAAGAACATAAGAGATGCCAATGTTGGATCAGGCCAAAGGCCCATCCAGTCCAACACTCTGTATCACACAGTGGCCAGAAATACCAGTGCCATGAGGAGGTCCACCAGTGGGGCCAGGACATTAGAAGCCCTCCCACTGTTGACCCCCTCCCCAGCACCAAGATGACAGAGCATCACTTGCCCCAGAGCCCCTATCTATACCTTGTGGCTAATAGCCACTGATGGACCTCTGCTCCATATGCTTATCTAATTCCCTTTTGAAGCCATCCATGCTTGTAGCCGCCACCACTTCCTCTGGCAGTGAATTCCAAGTGTTAATCACTCTTTGGGTGAAGAAGTACTTCCTGTTATCCGTTCTAACCCGACCACTCTGCAGTTTCATGGAGTGCCCACGAGTTCTTGTTGTGTGAGAAAGGGAGAAAAGTACCTCTTTCTCTACCTGCTCTTTCCCATGCATAGTCTTATAAACCTCAATCATGTCCCCCCTCAGCCGTCGTTTCTCCAAGCTAAAGAGCCCCAAGCTTCCGAGATCAGGCTAGCCCGGGGCCATCCAGGTCAGGACAATCTGCAAATTATGCTTCCCAGGTTTGGGAAACTGGAATATGGAAGCTCTCTGCAGCTGAAAAGAGGAAGTAAAAGGCATGAGAGGACCAACCACAGAGAGGAGCGTCTCCAAAAAGCTGTTCCACATGGGTGAGGATAAATTCCACCACGATGGACTGGATGCGGACCTCCATGAAGGCTGCTGTGCCATTAAAACCAGATGCCTCAATGTCCTTGGACCTGAGGAGAGAGGGGCGGGGGGGTCAGAAGCAGAAGTACAGCTCTCGATGAGTCCCTGTTAGGCTTCCCTTAGCTTGTTCTTCAAAAAGGGGGCTCCAGCTGCTGAAATGGTTATTATGGCTAACTGGGAGGGGGAGCATTGCTTTAAACATACCCAGAATGCAACCTTATTAACTAAACATACTACCAAAGGATGCAAAGAAATTATTTACAATGTACAGACAAGTTTTGCGAACACTGGGCAATTTTTATTTCATACTGGAATGAAAAAGTTACCGATACAGCCTTTTGCTTATTATGGGCTATTGTAAACATGCTATTTTTCCCCCCCTTGTTATTATTAAGTTATTATATAGTGTAGTATGTCCATTGATTACCATAAAAAACCTGAAACTGCAAGAAAAGGAGACTCCTGATTTTAAGACCAGTTGTCCCCCAGTGTGGGTTGGATTCAAGGTACGTTTCTCACCTAGCACACTTCTGCACTGGAGTTGCCCAAAGAGAGTAATGTGGACTGCACCGTGCTCGATGGTTTCCAATACTGTGTGTCTCACAGAAAACTTCAAGGCCACTTAACTCAGTAACTGATAGCAATCCTAAGCAGGTCTGCGCAGAATCTTGATGAGGCCCGTTCCTCCTACAAAAGCATTCTTTGGATGGCACTGAAGGCATAGGATTGTATTGTCAGATGACTGATGGTTTCTAACCCTGTGTGTCTTGGAAGCCATGGGCACAGCCCCCTACAAGCCTAGACTGGAAGCACAAAATTACCCATAGCAGAATAAGAACGCACCTTAGCAGGTTGGGAGCCCAAACAATCGCCAGGTTCCTCACATGCATGTTGGTCTTGGCGCTGAAAGACGCAATGCGGACCAGATGCCTCATCAGGAACTCCAAGGTCCTAGTGGCAGACCACCAAAACAAAGATGGACAAGGAATAGAAAAAAGAAAGGCAAAAACCTTATGAAGGTATATGACGATCACCTGGGATAGAACTACAGTTCCACCATCGTAAAGGGGCACAAGGTCCACGCCAGAAGTCAGCACCTGATGGAGTTTCTTCTCTTTCTACTTCCCCCTTCCCATCTTTTTATGACTTAATCCAGGAGCCAGCGTGGTGAGGTGGTTAATAGTGACAGATTCAACTTTGGAGAACTTTGTTCGATTCCACACTCCTCCACATGAAGCCAGCTGGGTGACCTTGGGCCAGTCACAGCACTTTCAGAGCTCTCTCAACTAAAAAAATAAGTCTAACTCACCATGCATAATGCTAAAGGAGCTAGACCCTCAGGCAGCCAGACAGTCTTAGGAACTCCTGGCTATACTATGCACAATGCCAAATAATAATTATAAATTATGATATTATTATTTCTTCATCCCCTATTTTCTGGGATTATTTTTAGATTACAGATGGGGGGCCATAATTTAGTTATTAAAATTAATGCACGAAGCTCATGTGTCATTATAATTTATAATGAAATCATAATTTATTTTATGATCGACAATAATAATAATAATTACCATGGTTAGCAAATGATAATGAATAGATCAGATACAATCTGATTATCATTTAAATATGAAGTACTCGCATATTTTAAATGAATAAAGGAAGTCACTTCATGCGAATCACAGCGTTAGACTGGGTCCCACGGATCCGTTCCTCCGATGGAAGGAGTCTTCTCTTGATGCAACAGCGTCTTGCATCAGGGGAAGACTCCTTCTGCTGGAGGAAAGTGCCACTTATCAGAACAGATCTGCAGGATCCAACCCGTTGGTATTCTGGTTATGACTTTGGGAGTCAGCCAGCAGTCTTTCCCATCCTTGCCCTCTGAGATCCTTTGCTGGACTATGGCCACTCCTCAAATAATAACACCTCAAACGATCTCCCACACATGCACTGCATCCTCTGGGTCACAATGAAAACCTTGATGGCCACCACAGATTAAGAGGGAAATGGGTCAGAGGACTGGGGGAGGAATGAGGTGGAATGAAAAGTAGTGAAAGTTTCCTTCACTGTATTCGAAGATCCTGTCACCACCTCCAGATGAGGACCCACCAGCCCAATCCCACCTGGAGGCTGACACGATTGCATCATACCTGGAATCTCAGAGGACTTCCCACCTGTGCCCCACGCAACATGTCCATATGAACCGGTGAAGTTACATTATCATGAGTCAACCTATTGGTCTTCTCTTTGTGCACTGTTGTTTGTGTTGGCTGCCAGGAGATCTCCAAGGACTCCAACAATGCTCTTTCTAAGCTAGCTGAGGTCTTTTGAAAGGAGATACTGGAGACAGGACTAGGGACTTTGTGCATGCAAAGCATGTGTTCTAAAACTGAGCTCTGGTTCCTTCTGAAAGGTGTACTTCAAGTTGGGACAATATGTCTGGCCGGAATCTTTCTTTCCCAGCCCTGCTTCAGAGATCCTTCCCATTCAAGACCCCAAAACTTGAACCGTGGACCTTCTGGGACCACTGAACTACATGCCCCATTGTCCATTCCACTGCCTTTTGGTGTTCACTTTGGTGTGGTATTTAAGATTGTCTTTAGCCTTTCTGCATATTATGACTGAGAAGAATACACAATTCTTATGAGTTGGCCAGAGGAGCCCAGACACCTTTGGGCCCGTGAAAGGAGGCAAAATCCAAGCTGAACCAGAATTTGCAAAAGGCTAGAAGCTGCCAGGACATCTCTGTTCCTTGCAAGTACCTGTAGTGTTGCGGTGGGAGTTCCTTCAGCACTTCCTTGATCTTTACCAGCCGGCCCTCTTCCATCTGAATGGCCACTGCATCCTGGGTGAGGAAAGGAGAAGATGCTCAGCTCTTAATTTTATTTGCTCACCTCTGCACAGTTCCCAGACTGCTTCCCACTTTGGAAACTCTTAACTTTGAAATCAAATAGAATCAGATGCAGACATCATCTATTCAGTAATGTTTCGGCATGTACACGCATACATCTGTTTGCAAGAAAGAGCCAGCACATGTTCGCTTTTACAAATGAAACCGGGGACCAGTACCTGGATAAATGTGGGGTTTCAATCACACTTGCAGCTGTACATGCATTGAATGTAACATGAGACTTATTCAGCACATGTACGAAGAAAAAGCAAGTGCGCATTGTACACGGAATGTACATGCATTCACTGTAACTTGTGAAGAGGGCTTGTGTGGGATATTGTAGGGTTGTAGCGGATGTTAGCTGCTTTGGATCCTCACTGAAGAGAAAGGTGGGGTATAAATGAAGCATTTCAGTTAGATCAGCTCCCATCCCCCTGCAGACGCTTCCATTCCTCATCACTGATTTCACACACAGGGTCAGCCTTACATTCCCCAGGCTGAAGGATGGGAGAACCTATTTCATGGGAGTCAGAAATACCTAAATACACCCTGACCTGGATAGCCCACGCGAGCCTGATCTCATCAGATCTTGGAAGCGAAGCAGGGCCGACCCTGATGGGAGACCTCCAAAGAATACCAGGGCCAGGAGCAGTGTTCCCTCTAAGCAGAGTTAGTGTGAGCTAGCTCACAGTTTTTTAGCCTCCAGCTCACACATTTTTGTCTTAGCTCAGGAAGGACGGCTCCAGAGCAAACTAATTTATGCAGTTGCCAAATCACCTGCTCACAACTTTAATGCCAGTAGCTCACAAAGTAGAATTTTTTCTCACAGGACTCCACAACTTAGAGGGAACATTAGCCAGGAGGCAGAGGCAGGCTATCAAGCCACTTCTCTGAATGTCCTCCATGCCCCAGTAGGAGTCGCCAGAGGTCGCCATGACTTCCAGGCACGGGCACACACACGCACACACAAAAATGCAAAATAAATATCTAAATACATAGGATTGTCATCTTAGTACAGATGCTAATTTTCTGCTTCTGAATGTTTCCCCCGGGCTTTAATAAAGCTGATTCCATTTTGCATTGTACCTGTGCATCTTGACTCCTTGCTTCGCAACACCCCTCTCAGATTCTGAATGGAACATAATGGATCAGGGTTCTCCATTCTGTCTTGTATCTGATGAAGGGAGCTTGGCTCTCGAAACCTTGTACTGGAAAAATCCTGATGGTCTCTAAGGCATTACTCAACTCAAATCTAGATTGGAAATACCTAAAGGCCACTAATTCCTACATCGCTAACTAGATCTGAGTTAAGTTTGAGTCCAGTGGCACCTTTAAGACCAACAAAGTTTGATTCAAAATATTAGCTTCCGTGGGCAAGCCCACTCCTTCGGATATATCTGAATGAGTGTAAAAGCTTATATACTGAATAAAGCTTTGTTGGTCTTAAAGGTGCCACTGGACTCAGACTTTGTTCTGCTGCTTCAGACCAACACGGCTGCCCCACCTGAATGGATCTGAGTTAATGTTATTGTATTTATTTACTTAATTTACGGGCTGGCAAAGACAACATGATGCTCTGGCCTCTGATCATGCGGCACACCTGGGTTGTGGCACTGGGGCCAGGGTCTGCCTGAGCGTCTTCTGGCACCCTGTCTCCTGGCTCCCTAGGCAGTCACTTAGGTCTGCCTATTGGATGGTCCAGCTCTGGAGAGGAGAAGAGTGCTCAGCGGCATAAAGACTGTCCCGTCTGCCATACTTACTGCAAACTTGTCATACAGCTGGTACGTGAGGAGGGGATTGGGCAGCTCCCGGAAGTAGGCCTTGCAGAGAGAACTCACACAGTGGATGTCCTGCAGATAGAGATCTTTGTTGAGATCAGGGCAGCGGTCGGTGTCAAATTCAAGCCTAAGGACAAAGGGAAGGAAGAAGAAATTGACAAAGGCGACTGTGCGGGCAGAGAGTATTCGAGCCTAAGAACTGCAGTTGCTGCACCAGAGCTAATCCAACATTCAGCTTCCAACACTGAATAACCAGACATCTCCAGGAGGTTCCAAAATTGGGGCAAGAATGCAACAGCATCTGGTACTTTTAAGTTAGACTGCCTCTGCACACGAAGGTTCCATTTAGCTATCATCACTAACGATCCCACTTGCTAGGCTGGATCAAAGCTCCAGCCAGTTTGGCATCCAACGGTAGTCAGCCAAATGTCTCCAGGAAACTCAAAAACTGGGCATGAAGATTTTTCACTATATAATAGATTGTTAAAATCTCAGAAGGATAACTTTATATCCCTATGAGGTGTGGATATTAGGTGTACCGGTATGAAGTAGGATCGCTTATGAAAATTAACAAACAATAGGATGAAATTCATAGGGTGTTGGAAAACCTTGTCCGATTATTAAATATAGGTTAATAAATATAGATTTTCTTTATATTCAAATTGACTGGAAACAATGGATTTAGATGGTAATGCTTGAATGAAATATAATCAGGCTTTCAGCTATACAGTGTATTAGTTAATTGAGAAATTTGAGGCTGGACTGTATAGAAAAGTGAGTGGACTGATCAAGAGAGATAGCCTACTAAATTTGATTATGTTATTTAGGTTGGGAAAAGGAAAATAAGATCAAGATAAATATTCTAGACAGTGAAGATGTGAGATTCCCAATGGATTATGATATCTACTATATATCTTTACTTAAATCCAGACTGAATGGATACAATTTATTCGACAAAATACTGGATGGATGGTAATTATGATTTTTCACCTAAGTAATGTGTAATGGTATTGTTAAGCTGGAGGAAAGAGAGAATGTACTGAAATCAAAACAGTTGTTAAATGTGTCATGGAGATGTTAAGGGGGAGATGGGTGATGGTTGATATATCTGTATCTGTTTAATGTTGGTGTCTATGGTTGTATGTCTTGGTAATTAACGGTGTGGAAAATTAATAAAAACTAATAAAAAAAAAGATTTTCCACTGTCCCATCATCTTGTATTGAGTGGAATACTGTCTCTGTTTCCAAAACCAACCAATCTGATGTCTCTGAGATACCCACAAGCAGGCTCTGAAAGCAACGTCCCTCCCCCATAGTATGTCCCTAGCAATAGTTGGTATTCAGAGGTACAGTGCCTCTAAACATGGAAGTTCATTCACCTGTCATGGCTGATAAAAGTTATGGGGGTTGTCTTGCTGGATCACACTGATGATGTGACCCTGACCTGGATAGCCCAGGCAAGTCCAATCATGTCAGATCTCGGAAAGTAAGCAGAGTCAGCCCTGGCTAGTATTTGGATGGGTGACTTCCAAGGAATGCCAGGGGTATAATGCAAAGGCAGGCAATGGCAAACCACCTCTGAAACATCTCTTGCCTTAAAAAACAAGTCTAGCTCACCACCTAGTGGTGCATAATGCTAAAAGAGCTAGAACTTCTGGCTGTCAGAAAATCTTAGGATCTCCTAGCTATACTACACACACTGCCATATAATAAGTATTCATTATTATTACACTGGTGATCCACCTAGTCCATCACCCTGTTGCCACTTTGGCTACCCTGAGGCTTCTGAGAAGCCTCAAAGTGGAGCACGAAGGTTATGGCCTTCTCTGATGAGTTTCTCCACCATCTGGTATTCAGATTTACTGCCTCCAGGTACATTTACTGTCCTGAACTGGATAGCCCAGGCTAGACTGATCCCGTCAGATCTCGGAAACTAAGCAGGGTTGGCCTTGGTTACTGTTTGGATGGGAGACCACCAAGGAAGTCCAGGGCCGTAATGCAGAGACAGGCAATGGCAAGCCACCTCTGGACATATCTTGCCTTGAAAACCCCACAGGGTTGTCATAGGTCAGCTGTGACTTGATGGCCTTTGGCTGAGGTGGCGGACATCTAATCTATCCCGGCATCCCCTGCTCGAACTGCTCACATGGTTTGTACTGCTACAGGGCCCTTTGGCACTCAACAACGAACACACGCTGAGCAGGTTTGCATCGGATTTTGCAAAACTCTGCATGCATACACACGCTGCGGAGGCACAGATCCTCCGCTGTTAATAGTGCTAAGCACGGCTATTTTGGGGCAGGAACGGAACGGTGTTCCGGCTGGCTCCTGAGTTGGCCATGCCCAGCAGGGACCCATTAGCATAACAGGCCACACCCAACAGCAGAAACTCATTAGGATTGGCTACATTAGGGGTGTGTGGCCTAACATGCAAAGGAGTTCCTGCTACAAAAAAAGGCCCTGGGTTTTGACAACAAACAAGGTACACAGAATAAGAAGCAAAAGGTGGGTGTGGCTGGATAACCCCACTTCTGGTAACATGGGGGTGCGGCCTAATGTGCTAATGAGCTGTGCTGTCAGGGTTGTGGCCTAATATGCTAATGAGTTTCTGCTGTTGGGTGGGGCCTATTATGTTAATGAGTTCCTGCTGGGCTTTTTCTACAAAAAGAGCCCTGGCTGCTAAGGACTACTCAGATGAATAGAGAACAGCTGCATTTTTGTAAAAAGTATTTGATTAATTTGTATGATTCATGTCTGGTTAACTCTAATTAAGCAACAGCTTGCCAAGAAAAGCAGCGGCATGGCATGGACGGGGGGAAGCAGAACATGCTTGTGTGAAAAACTGGTTGAGCTGTGCAGCATTCTACTGTTATGAAGAATATGTTTGAAGCAACCTGTTGAACACCCACAAACAGCTGGATGAACAAAGAGTCCATCAGAAAGTTGGACCCATGTTTGCAACTGGTGAACAGAACATGAGCAAAACCAGCAGGGAGCCAAGAATCCCGAGAGATACAGAGGCTTTGTGTATCTGTCCTGACTTTTGATGGGTCCTTCTTCCTTTATGAATTTGTCTGCTCCTTTGTTAAAGCCATTTAAACGAATTGTCCATGTCGCCACACATTGTGGCAAGTTGAGTTCCACAAGTTAATTTATGAGAAATGGGGGACTGAAAGTGAAGGAAAGGGCCCATTCAGCACCCAAGGCATCCCTTACCTTAGTTTCTGGATGTTTGACGAGACTCCTGAAAGCCGGTAGATTCCGTCTACTATCCCATGCTTTTCTACAAACTCTGTGCAGCTCTTCAGGACCTGGGGGACTGGGAAACAAAAGGTTAAATCTGGAAAATGATGGAAGTCTCTGGATAGGCTGATAGATGAAAGGCAGTGTAATAACTCCACAAGCAAAGGCCAGAAGGATTGCAGGTCTTATTAGAACAAAGCAGGGCCTTTCCCAGCCTCTTCCGGAACACAAAACTAACAGTCAGCAACCAGCATAGGAAAATGAAACTAAACTAAAACTGCAGGAGGGGAGAATAACTATGCAGTTCAATAAGGGAACATCAGCATATGCACAATTTCCCATGATATAACAGGCAGTTTTTGCCTGGAATACAGCTGCTGTTTGAGGGGAGGGGGGATAGGATGAGCTCTGAACATGCCTTCCCCCACGCAAAAGAAAGATCAAACCATGAAGCTGCCATACTGAGTCAGACCCTTGGACTATCAAGATCAGCACTGTCCACTCTGACCGGCAGCAGTCTTTCACATCCTCTACTACCTGATCCTTTCAACTGGAGATGCCAGGGATTGAACCAAGGACCTTCTGCATGGAAAGCAGATGCTCTGCCACTGAGCCGCAGCCCATCCCTTCTCCAAGGAAGGAGTTCAAGGTCCTCCTTTCCTACTTCATCAGTACAACAGTTCTGACAGAGGGTCAAGGTCACCTGTCCAACTTAAGGGCAGAATAGGGATTTGAACACTGGTCTATCAGATTCTAGTCCAGCACTCTTAACAGCCGCACCACACAAAGAGCTGGCTAGTTATATTTCAGATCAGTATGAGCACTGCAGCTCCTGTCTGAATTCACTTCTCTTCCCTGTTCAATTTCTCTCTCCTGGTTTTCTTGCAGCTTTCAGACTCATCTGCTTTAGAGTTGTCCTTTCATTCTTTTGAGAAAATCTCCACAGGCCTTCGTCTGCCCAGAGGGCACTGTTTCTCTGAGCCTGCAACCTTCTTAGGAGCCTAACTCCCACTTTCCTACATCTTTGTTTCTAATTCTGCTCCCCTAGGTTATTCTGTCTGCTCTGTGATACCGGATGTTCCAGCAAGAAGAGAACCAGAAAGACCCTTCTGCCTGCCATACCCTTTTGTGACATCAGAGAATCTCAGTCAATCACTGCTATGAATTAAATGAATTCTAGAGTCCAGTGGCACCAGTATTGATGCAGTCTGTTTTTAGACGTTTGTTTTAGGCAGGGTTTTTTTTGGTAGAAAAAGCCCAGCAGGAACTCATTAGCATAATAGGTCACACCCCTGACAGCACAGCGCTCATTAGCCTATTAGGCCACACCCCCATAGCTTCCCTTGGCTTGCCTGGGTGGCCCACGGCTGCGGGGAGCCCAAGCGAGCCGGCCCTTGGACAGGCTGGGGAAGGAATGGGGAGGCATCGGAGTCACCAGGGGGGGTTGCTCTCCAGGCCTTCCATCTGTAGCCACACACGCAGAGGTTTTGGCTGTAGTGGGCGTGGCCAACTCTGAAGCCAACCGGAACTCCGTTCCTGTGCGTTCCTGCCCAAAAATAGCCCTGGTTTTAGGCCCATTCTGCATCAAGCATTTGCTCCGTTGTTTTACCAAACCCAGACTGGAACAGAAAAAGATGCAGCTCAAAACCACATTCAAATACCACATTCAAATACCCTGGGCCAACACTGTACTGACTGCAAAGACACCCCTGAATGGCCACAAAACAGCCATAAATCTATGCAGATGGTACCATAAAACCAAGAGATCAAACAAAGTCAAAGCGGCATGCAGGCAGTCTGGACTATCTGACAATCCATCAAAGTGAAAGTAGAGGGGAATTTCTGTTCCAACATGGGCTTGATAAAACAGCGGAACAAATGCTAGATGCAGAATGGGCCTCTGTGTTTTATAGGGCTGCCAAGTGGGGGCGGGGAGACCCCCGCTTTGGAGGCCCGATTTCCGCCGCCGCGGAATCGGGCCCCGGGGGAACCCCACCCCGGCATGTGCATCACCAGGAAGTGACGTGGGCACGTCAGGCACGCTGGGGCCGGGGCCACGGCCATACAAGGGAAAACTCTATGGTTTTCCCTTGTATGGCTGTGGCCCCGCCCCCAGCGTGCCTGGCGTCCTTCCGTCACTTCCGGGTGACGTGCATGCGGTGCGTGCGTGCACACACAACATGCCGGCCGGGAGCCCCCCGCTCCCGGTGAAGATACACTTGGCAACCCTACAAAGGTGCCACTGGACTCAAACTTTGTTCTACTGCCAGTGCATGTTGTATATATAATGTCTAATATTCCAGATTGCACCTTACATTTTGCCAAATAACATTTGTCTTTTGCAGCTAAAAGAAGTGCCAGCTTTGGCAAGAGAGCTACAGGTTACCAAAAATGCCCTAGCAGAAGCTAATTTGGACAAGGCGCGTCTACTACAGGAAATTAGGAAATATGATCCCCTCTTCCAACTTTGACAGCAGTGACCTGGGCTACAGATGCTCAGGGCAACCAGAGATCAACACCAGCATCAAAAAATTTTACTCGTTACAAAATGCCTAACTAGGGCAACATCAGACCAGAGTAACTGCCTTGAGGAAGAGAAACAATATGCCATTATGAGAGATGGGACTCTGGGACAACAAGAAAGCAAATGAGAGTAGACAAGCCAGAAAGCTGGTTTTACAGCCATATACCTGTCAAGGTAGTACAAAGCAGTGTTAAATTTTAAAATAGCCAAGCCAAACAAGGAACATTTCAGTTTCTCCTTTGTTCAAGTCATCTTGAAGTGGTGCTGACAAACTACTAATATTTCTGACCATAATTCTGCTTCCTCCTTCATTGCTGCCAGAGGTTGCTGGTGGTGTTGGGGATATCCTTGCTGTACATCAAAGCAATAAGGTCAGACTACCTGCTTGAAGCCTTGTGTGCCACTGAAAATAAATTCCTTGGCACTTTGGTGCAGGATCATGAGCTTGAAATCGTAGTACAATGCAGATGAGAGGCAATCCTAGCATAGGAAAGAGGTGGCAGGGAAACAGTCATCATGTATTTGAGAGTGGAAAAGAGACTTTGGGTGGCCTGTTTCACTTTAAGCTGTTTCCCAGTGCTTTGTTACTTGAGTTTTGGAGACACACCAGTGTGTAGATGCTATCCACTCCCTCCATTATTGCCTCATTTCAGTACAATGACCTGCACTGCCTATTAGAGGATCTCCTGTCCACCCCCACTCTCTGCATTACAATACACAGGTAACCTTGAGTTTCTTATCTCCTTAAATGAGAGGAGTGGGGTGACACACAGGAACTGAATTATGCACATCCCCTCTGGGTCAAGCACCTTGGAGATTTATTTGTTAAATGATGAGCTGTAAACAACATTCTGCAATTTTTAGTAATCCAGATTAATTGTGTCAGAAACTCTTTTGTACTCTAAAACTGAATACTCAAGCTTCTTTTTGTTGCTTTGATTTACGTAGCTAATTGCACAATTCTATAAAATGTATGACACAGCAGTTGTGTAAAGAAATGCTGGGTCACTGTTCGTTTTCTTTGGTCCTTTCATTAAACTATCAATCCCAGAGAGGATTTTTTTCACAAAACAATTTCAACAGACAGGATATGAGGAAATCCACACAGAGGAAATTAGTAATGGCCAGGAGAAAAGAAAATGTTCATAAAAATATTCCACAGATTCCTTAGCCCTTAATGCAATCCTGTGAATTAGGACAAGACAATTGGGGACCTGCAAGAAACATGCAGGAGCATCTGTCCCATCTCTGATTCTTCCACTCTCTCACACTCTTCCTACTTCTCTCGAACTTTCTCCTTCCTGCCACCCCTTTTCTTACGTACACTCTCTCTCCATGCCTGTCACTTCCTTTCTGCCACCACCTATCACTCTTTCTGCCCCACCACTCTCCCAGCGTCCCACCTTTTTCCTCCCCCCCTCCACAGCAGCGGCAGCAGCTGCTCTCCAGGAATCACAACGGATTGCCCAAATGCAGGTTGGGTTTTTTTACTTAAAATAGAAACACGCTCAAAACATTAGCCATATTAGCCATAAAACATTTTTTACTTAAAATAAAAACATGCTTAAAACATTAGCCATATTTTGTTTATTTAGCAGTGTCTGATAATTGACACCTCTTGCGCTGAACTATTGCATCAAAATGTCTGTGCTGTTGCAATCTTCAATATGCTGTTCAGGTATCTATAAGCTGCACACCTACAGTGATGCGGCGGCGGCAGCAGAACTGGAAGAAGAAGCAGAAGACAGCCAGTTCCACTGCAGGCCTGATAGAAGCCCTCCAAGGGGCCTAATCCGGCCCCTGGGCCACATGTTTGACACCCCTGCTGTAGAGTCCACCTTCCTAACTGGCCATTTTCTCCAGGTTAAGTGATCTCTGTTGTCTGTACATCAGTTAAATAGTCAAAAGCCCAGTAGCACCTTTAAGACAAACAAACTTTATTGTAGCACAAGCTTTCGAGAAACACAGATCTCTTCGTCAGATGCATCTGATGAAGAAAACTGTGTTTCTCGAAAGCTTATGCTACAATAAAGCTTGTTAGTCTTAAAGGTGTTACTAGGCTTTTGACTGTTTTGCAGCAACAGACTAACATGGCTAACTCATCTGGATCTGGAAATCAGTTGCAATCCCAGAAGATCTCCAGCCACTACCTAGAGGTTGGCAACCCTACCCTCAGTCCTCTCTCCCAAAAACTGGAACAGAGCATCAGAAATTTCTCTCCTACAGCTGAGTTTGCCCCACAAAGGGTCTTGCTAGGCTTCTCAAAATTTTCAGGTTTCTCCCAAAAACTTATGCTTCTTAAAAGAAAACACAACAGTGTTTATTTATAACTGATTTATATGATCTTTGACTGATTTAAACCATTGATTGCCAAGTGGACCAGCAGCACACCAAAGGCAGGGGGAAGCAGAACTTTACAGGGGCCGTGATGCATGTGCAAAACATGGACTGGAATAAGGAATATGGTGAAGCCACTTGCCCAGAAACCACAAATGGGTCAGTTCATCAAAAGAACATAAGAGAAGCCATGATGGATCAGGCCAATGGCCCAT